ATTCCCACCTTTGCGGAGCACAACAGCGTGCATAAACCCATCGGTTTTGTTTCAGCACAAACACAAATAAGCCACCTTGCAGAACTACGGAGCTAACAGAATGTGTTTGGGACACAAATGGGGAAGCGGAGGGATGTCAACTTCTCTCTCTTCCTTGCGTAAAGCAGGGCTACATCACACCTGCTTCCTGCCATCGTTTGCTTGATTGCTTATCAAGAAATAGCCTGTCTGTCACTCTATCGATGAACATGCCTTTAAATGCTGTCAGCAAGCAGGAAGCTTCTGTGAAGGAGTCCTGACAGGTATTTTACATAACACGACACGAGGCCGGTCAACATGCCGGGACCGCAGGTGACTATACCGAATAATGAAATAAGCAGAGAGCGCTGCACTCACTCTGTCTGTCATCTTACCACTCCAATGTGAGCAACCGCAGAGATCAGTAGTTCTGCCCAAGGGAGGGAATACAGCGCCCCACACAAAACACACAGACCCGAGGCCTCCAGCATCTGTGATGGTTAATACCTTATTTGTCCGATCCCCAAATAGGTGCCCCAAGCCCCATTTCTTAGGCATTCTGTCAGAAAGCTGCCTGTGAGGCCCTGGCGATGGTGAGAGGCACTCAGCTGTTGTTCTGCTTCCCGTTTACCGACAGCCGAATCGCCTTGTTGCCATCCCTGACCCGGCAACCCTGCCACGGGGCCCACTGCACACTCGCTGGATGAGACAGGAGGGCCGGAGGCTGTGACTCAGGCTCCAGAGTGCGAGCACAGTACAAATCATCTCTAAGAATACCTTGAGACTTTTGGGAAATGCAGTCTAAAAAAAAAATTATCTGTGAACTCAAACATGACTCAATTTTATTGCTGCCTAATCTAGGAAAAACACCTTACTGATAATTTTTTTTCTTTAGTGTCTGCTGTCCCAAACAGAGATGTTTTGCTCTTTCCCCTATTTTTTTCTGCCTAGTCCCGCTGCGGGCTCCTCGGCGAGCAAGCAGGTGACCTTTATCAGCACTGGGAGGCTTCTGAAAAGGGCAGCTGTAAACATCGCAGCCAAATCGGTCTTTCCTTGGGTCTCAGGAGCGCTTGTTTTATGCCAGAGCAACCCCCAGCTGACGCCCACTGGGTTGCTTCTCACTTGCACCAGTTGGGAATTGGAAGTGCTCTCCCGATACCTTTCAGAAGTGGCGTTTTGCAGGGTTTGCCTGCGGTTTAGTGGCACAGCAGAGAGCTCAAGCAAGCACAGCCTCTGCCATCTGCACGGTAACGTGCTCCAACACTGGGGAGAGAGATTCCTGCTCGGCAAAGCAGAAGAGCTGGATGCACGAACCTCACAATGCTTTACAAAAATGGTAAGTCAGTCTCCGATTCGCCCACAGGATAAAACAGGCACCAGAAGGTTAAAAGACCGACCCAAGGTCATGTGCTGAGACAGTGGAAAAACTGGAAATAAACTGAGGTCTCCTGATTCCTCAAGAGGTACAGAGAGCAAAAAAGAAGACAGAAAGAAAGAAAGAGCTAGAACAGGCAAGAAAGGAGAAATGACAGAAGTGACACTGTGTTTCTATTAAAAAAAAAAAAAAAATCTTGGCTCATACACCTCTCTGCTGCAAAGTTACTTGGTAACATGCAAAAATCAACCTTTGACCGGTCTTTACTGCTTGATTTCTCAAGCCTTAATCACATGAAAACTTCTGAATGTCACCTGCATATTGTATAACCCAAGAGAGGAAAAAACCCAATACATTCAGAAGCACTAGGACGGTTCCAGACTCAGCCCACCTATTTTTTCAGGCTGAAAAGCCTCTGTGACACCTGGCTTTGCTATATTGCAAATACCCGGAGCTGGTGGCCTGCATTTAAAGGAAGGAAACTAAAAGAAATATACGTGCCAGTAGGAAATGGGAATTTCAGACAAAAAGTAAAAATGAAACAGAAGAATCACATACATTGTCAGGACTGAAGTCCCCAACAGATTCTGCATCCTGTACTAAAAATGTAAAGTCTTCCTGTTTCTGTAACTATGAGTTTCTTTCTTCCTTTCAAAGATCTCAACTCTGACACATACTTAGGAACTGAATTTGTTCTGGTTTTAAACATTAGAACCAAAAATGTCTCTTAAAGAGTCAAAACTGAAAGTTTACTCCTGAAAAATAGTTACGGTGTACCTCCAATCTGATCATTATATTTTTTTGTAAACGTACTCACATTTTCTCATTTGCAAACCAGATGACTTCATTAAAACCCTTTCTGTAGTCAGTCTACCTTTGTAGCAAGGAATGGAAAGTTACACACGCTTCAGGTTGCCAGATCTGATACACAGAAGGATGCAGATTTCCTGACTGTCATGGGAAATAAACAACAGTTTCATACAAGTGAGGTTTTAGGCTACTGCAGCTGTTTTCAAAAGAAGGCAGTAGATGTTAAGGAATATGACCTTCTTCCAGATATTACAGAAAATAGGGTAATTCACGCTGAACGTCCGTGACTGCAACATCACCAAAATGAACGCTGCAGAAGTGGAGGAACACGTGACAGTTTGAAAAGTCAGGTGTCACCAACTGTAGGAACAGAGAGAAATACCTGACTACAGGTACCGGGGTTTCAGCTGCTCCGTGGCATTGCAAGTCAGGATTTCCCCAGAGCAGACAGCTGCGTTTATGTTCTCTTTTAAATCTGACTTTGGTACATTTTACACATACGCACACAGAGATTTCAGTCCAATTTAATGATTATTTACTGCTAGAAAACATTTAACACTATGGCATTCTAGCTGATAAAGTCAACGTCTGAACTGACATGTAGGAAAACATCAAGAAAAAGTTACGTTAAGACAACACGGTTTCGGGGGTGGAAATTCCAGGAGTAGAAACCCTAGGGTGACAAGCACAGCGGGCCAGGAAACACTCCCAAGCACGGACCTCAGTGATACTGTCGAAGAGCTGGGGAGGAGCGGGGCAAGAGACCTTTCATCATCATGACACAATTGCACACTAAAAGGACAAACCTGGTATTTGTCCAGGCCAGACCTGAGACTCTGCTGTCGAGCACAAACTTTACCCTGGCTTTAGCCATCAGGCTGTTTCCATACTATCTGGAATATCCATACTATATTTGATCCTACTCTGACTTCTCGCAGCAGGCAACAGAGCTGCCTCCCCGGTCTCATATTCGGCAGAGGGCCCAAAGTCCCGTTAGCTTAAGAGTATTTACCGCTGAGGACACCACTTTGCGAGGTGCTGCAAACCTCAACCGCAGTGACGTTAAGACCCCCTCAAGGTCCCTGGCAGCAGGACAACGCAGTGACGTTAAGACCCCCTCAAGGTCCCCGGCAGCAGGACAACTGCTCTTCACCACAGACAGGGCTGAGGTTAGTCCTTCTGCTGCAGCGACAACTCGAACGTGGCACAGGTGGGGAACCTCATCTCCAAAGGGCGACAATGCAATCCTGCAAGGGAGGGATTGCTAGGAAGACTGTCTAATGCAGGTGGGCGTTTCTGAGCCACCAGAATCAACTTCACCAAGGCAAAAATGCAAACGCTTTGTCCCTGTGAAATCTTTACACAAGAATCTGGTTTGGTTACACTCTCCGAGTCCCTAACCTATCTTGTTCTACTGTAATCTTATCTCCCTACATTATAATCACTAACCCCAGGAATACTGCCAGCATGGAATAACAGGCTGGTTTACCATAAACCAGGGTCTTAAATTGTACGTGCCCGAAGACAGCCACAGCTACAATACGCTCAACACCTCTGACAACCAGCTCACTGATTTGGAAACTTAAATGTGGATTAACAAAACTAATACCGAGCCCCTTAAAAACATATTTGTTCCTACACAACAACAGCAGTTTCTTGTTCGCCAGACAGAAAAAACAAACACCACACTGATTAGCTTTGACAACAGCTGACATATTTGCATCAACATTTTGTATGAATCAAGAACAGCAAGACTGGGTCTGAGCCCATTAGTGTGGTTATTTCTGCCCCAAAATAATATTGCTGCCCAGCGACAAAGTACCAGAAACTCTATGACAACCGTCCTCACGTTTCACATTTTGTTTTAAACAAAACTTTGTGGAGTTCACAGGCGTTTTTCAGTGCGCATGCTAGACAGACGCCTCCTCCGCAAGGAGCACAAACGCACTTCAGGCTGGGTAAGGCCGTGAGCGACCTGGTCCAACCTCCCAGCTGGCCCTGCTGCAAAACTTGAGCAGGAGGTTGGACTACGGACCCCCTGCAGTCCCTTCCACCCTGAATTTTCCTCCAGTCCTATGAGAACGTTCCTCACTGGAACAGGCCAGCGCCTGGCTCTGCTTCCCTCAACACGAGATTGCACCCTGCTCCATTAATATTAATATTAGAGTCAGCGGGGTCCTTCCTGAAGTAGACAGTGCCTTACCAAGTCAGACCCTCATCTGGCTTCAGCTGATACAGCTACAGCCTACCCTGCAGAACTAGGCTGATTTACACTAGGGAAGAACCTGGCCCAGAATGGGAAAAGGCGGCAGAGTCAGGCTTTCGCTGTGAATACGCTGTTTCAGGGGGAGGCCCCAGCTAAGCTAGCGGTAACGGTTCATGTGAGAAGACGTCACTTCACGTGGACAGCAACCAGCATTTCAACGCTGTTATCAGTGAACTTAGCCCAAGAAAATGAAGCTGCTTTTAAGAACTGTTGCAGAGTTGGTGCCCACTAGAAATGCACGTTAATTAACCACACAATTTGTAAAATGAATTTAATTAAGACAATATATGTACGTGCTTTCACAAGCAACAGCAGAGATCCAACATTGTATGCTGTACAGTGTGTTCTGTACCCCTGATTGCAGGTACGTCCCTCAAATAAAAAAGTAATCGCTTACTTCACAGGCTAATTTCCCAGGTCTCAGGCAGAAGGTAACTTCTCATGCAATACCTGCAGCTGTTCACATAAAAATACACCAGAGGATAGACTCATGCCTTTACCAAGATGAATGATGTGAAGAAGAGACGTTACCTGATTGGGCTGAATTTTCGGCACATGTGCTTTCCACATTTGAGCTTCCCTAGAGATTGCCGTCTCCAGAAGGAGAGACAACCTCTGGCTCTCCAGGGGTCCTGAAAACTTCATGGTAACCCTTGGATCCACCTGCCACCCAGCTGGATACAGCTACCTGCAAAACCAAAGACAGCCTGGTGAAATACTGAGCCATGCCTGTCCGGTAAACTGAGCAAAAGAAAGCACAAAGGTGACGAAAGCTGCAAGAAATGGCACAGGCTCATCTGTAACACAGACAGGGATCGGGTACTTGGCACACCTACCCAAGGAAACCCAAACCAGTCGGCTCAGATTCAGATGAAGCTGGGCCAAAATTGTACACAGGTCTCCAACACCTAAGTGGGCTGGAAAGGCCTGCCGCTTCAAGGTTTTCTGCTTCTCTGTTACGTAGGCAATCAGGCAAGACCTCTCCCGCTTCAGCAGCACTAAAAAGTAGGGGTGTTTTTTACAAAAAATACTTGAGAAGAGGGAGGAGCTGTATGGCAAATATAAAGGGGATTTCAGTAAGTTGGTTGCCCTGGCCCAAATCTCGCTGAAGTTAAAACCAGTCTACCTGTGAAGTTAAGACTGACATTCAAACGTTTTTCAAAAATCCCAGCCGTGGAGCCTGGTTGGTGCCAGCCTTACCCCAGTACTCTCAGCAGCAACAGGAAGTTTTGTGCAAAACAGAGGAACGCTTGTTTGAGAATTTAGCTGATTTACAAGCTGAAGCCCGACAAAAAGATCAATGTTTTCCCTCTGCACAGTATGGCTTGTCTTTTCTCAAAGAAGCTTGACCTGTTTCATGTGCAATGTAAATGTACCAGGGGGTTCAGGAAGTCCTCTCGCATATGGCTTGTAGCTTCTCAAAGAAGCTTGACCTGTTTCATGTGCAATGTAAATGTACCAGGGGGTTCAGGAAGGTTCCTCTCGCATCTAATCACTCTGAAAATACGTTAGATTCACAAAACTTTAGGGCACATCTCTAATTTTAGATAGGAAATGGGTCTTAAAGGAGGAAAAAAGCAGCAAACCCAGTGACAGCATTTGCAGAGCATGAAATGACTAGAAGCCGGGTAAGTGACGGACAAAATTTCTGCACGGCCTACAGTATTCAGAAACACCTGCTTCCACTGGCAGAAGCCATGATAAAAAAGCAAGCAATCTAAACAGAACACCTTGCTATACACGAAACAGAAAAAAGGGGGTTCTCCTGGCCCTAGTACAGCCTCACTCGGCAGTAACAATGTGTCAAGAAACTTGTAAATTTGAGATGGAAAACAAAGCAGAGGCAAGATTTTTTTTTTTTAAAGACAACAGATTCCACCACCTGCTTTCAAATGGAGAAGATGGTCTGATTGAAAAGGTTATTCAAATTGTTCTAATACTGCCTACCGCTACTCTGGCTGCAAATTTCTTGACAGTATTAAATCACTTAGGCAAAACAATGCAGCCCTGAAGGGTAAATCCATGGGAAAGTTATTTAAAGTTTCAACTCCTTCTGTGAGCTCTTGTGAAATCTGCAACAGGTGGATATCGGCCAAACACTAACCAGGCTATTTTATAAAGACTAGCTTGTTAATACAACAGTTTATGCTGTATTTACAGGAAATAAGGCAACATGTTGAATCAGAGAAAATAAACAAAATTCACGGTGAAAACAATCAGTTTATTATAAATAATAACAACAGCAGCTCTGAACAAACGAAGATTCAGAGTGCTTTCACAGAGTTGAGGGAAACTGTAGAACAAATATTTTTCTTTATCAATTTACAGGAGTTTTTAGTGGGCGCGATTCACACAGAACCTGCACGAGGCACAAAATCGCACTCAAGTCCCACTTACAGCCAAGCAGGTTTTAAGTGGCAAATAAACGTCAAGCCTCTCAGTCCTGAACAGAAACCCCTTTTATATTAGATTTTTATAAAACAAATGCTTCTCCATGAACAAAGGAGAGGCTGTACTGGCTTGGCATACCCCTGCACAAGGTTTCCAGCCCGTCGGTGTAATGACCGAAGGCGATTTGGGCCATACATAGATTTTCTGGCTGCAGGGAACACCTCAGATCCATGATTCCTGAAAGGGCTCAAAATGCCCTGCACCGCGTCTCAAAATCACTCCCCATCAGCCCCCAAATGGCTAATCCAGTATCACTGTGGACTGAAAAATCCCTATTAAAAGTTCCCCACTTGACAAGAGGAAGACTCTGCCTGGGAGGTGACACTACGTTCCTCTAAACAGAACCGTGGCTTGAACCGCAGCTTATTTATGCGCATTTACTCATTTTTGCATGTCTTTTTTTAAACCTCGGGATAACCCTGGCGACACTCATACCACTGTAAATGGGGCTGCCGGTGAAGCTGAAGGGGAAACAGGGATGCACGTTCACAGCCTCCCCCCCTCCAGCTCATTCCCCCGGGGCCTTCATTAGCATCTCATTATCCTGCCATCATACACTACAGGTTTCCGTGTGGGCTGGGCTGGTTCCCAAAGGCCGGAACACCCACCATTTCCAGAGCCATCAGCGCTTCCAAAGGAGGTGTAAAGCCCTGGGAAACGAGGACAGCAGTGATGAGGGCCGCACCCCCGCACTGATGGAAAAAAGCAGTTCAAATTGCAGGCGCAGGTGAAATATTTTGTCCCCTCCGGCGTGCGTGGGGAGCATCCAGCAGACAGGGGTTGAGCCTGGGGGACCCCCGCATCCTGTAGCCTTCCCACCTCGCAACTCAAGAGCCCCAGAAAAGGGGTTTCTCCAGGCCTGTGCAGAGCAAAAGATGGATGACTTTTTTTTTTAATTTATTTAACTGAGCCTGCAGATCCGTCAGTTGCTACGTACCAGGTAATGCTAACCGGGTAACATCCAACGGGGTATCAGCTACAGCCTCTCAGACCACACCTGGAGAAGACGGCGATTAAAGGCGTGCGTGAGCACTCGGC